TGATGTTCTGTCTGTAATAGCTGCGCCAACTTCGCATGGTGAGCCACTCTCCACTAACACTGTCTCCGTAGTATCGCAAGAACTTGTACTCAAGGAATCGTCTCTTGCTACTGTTTCCTTCCTGTCACCTACATGAATCTGTCTTGTAGTATTAACCTTTGCCGAGATTTCCTGTATGGTGATTGTTTCAATTGAGCTCACGGAAGTGTCCTCTTCGTGGAATTTGTCTTCGAAGATTGCATCAATTATGCTCAAGGAATGACTTCTTTTCGACCATCTTCCTCTAGTGTCACTTTCAACTGAGCTCAAACAACTATGTCTCCGTGATAATTTCTTCTTAGACAAGCCGTAATTTGATTTCAAAGAATTACTTTCCCCTGACATCTTCCTTGTGTTCACTTCACTCTGTCTGACTGTGCACGCAACTCCAGGTAGTATTCCTTTTCCGATGAGAACTTCATCTTTTTCCAAGGAATGCAATTTTCTCAGGGACTCGTGATTTTGCTTTATATCTATGTCCTTTCCATTTCTAAGGTGTGTTAATGTCCCTACTTTGGTTCTTCCTTGTCTATTTGTCTTGACATTTCTATTTACTGTCAAAACATTATCTGCCGCTGCTACGATATCTTCCCTTCGAGAATCTCCTCCCTGTATTGGATCATTTTTCTCCCTCTTATCACCTATTCTTGCAGATTCCTTTAAATGTAATTTTTCTTCTTTCACAATGTTGCCCGGTCCTCTGGATTCGTAGATGTCACATAAACCACTATCTGGAGATAATGCAGCCTTATATGCTGAATCAACGTCCCATGACATTTCACTTCTACAGTCTCCTGAATATTTCTGTATAGATTGGCATAATTTAAATAAAGCATCTTCTAAGTTTACAGCTAATTCACGTAAGCGATGAATGTTCTGTGGGAAGTTATCTATTTTATAAGCATGGATTCCATCTCTAATGATATTCCTCTGTTGCATTTCAGATCTATCCAGTTTTTCTTCCTCCAAGTTTTCTAATTTTCTAAATAAGTAACAATCACCTGTTAGAGAATCTTGTTCTTGATCTTCGGGTCCCTGTTTTCCATCGAACATTTCCTTAACATGA